GGTGGATATCCAGGTTGTTGCCAAATTTGGGCTACTATGAATAACGCTGCTGTGAACATGGGTGTGCAAATACCTCTTCGACACCCTACTTTCAATTCTTTTGGATATAAATCCAGAAGTGGGATTGCTGGAAACATATGGCAATCCTATTTTTAATTTTTTTCTTGTTGTTGAAGTGTTAAGTAAGGTCACCAACTGGACGTGAAGTGGGGAGATGTGGGAGATGTGAGGAGAGAAAAGATACAGAATAATCACCTTAGAAAGAGAAAACAAACATATGAGAGAAACATTTTAGGATTCCGAGGTTGTGTTGCCTGATCCTTGGAGGTCTGCCGTCCTGAATTTAACAGGGAAATGACCCCCAGGAAGGGTGTGTGTTTACATGAATGGTATCTGTCATTCACTGTGTATGACCGGCAACTTGCTTTTTCTCCCTCCAAGCAGCTGTGCACCCAGTGTTCCACAGAAGTGAGACACCGGAGTTTACATAAGCATTCTCCCCGTGACAGACAGCAAGGTCATTTCCAGTTCTTAACTGTGATAAAGGGAAGCTGCAGTAAGGACACAGGACACACAGGACTGTTTCTCTAGGGAAGGTACCAGGGTCACAGGTCAGCGTGTTTTGAGGTTTTACATATTCTTTCAATTGCCCTCCACTGTGGTTCTACCGATTTATACACCCACCAACAGAAGATGAGAATACCCAGTGTCCTCACCAGCCCTGCATCCATCAGACTTTCTATTTTGCTTGTCTGATGGAATAAAAAGTGATCCTCATCGTTTTAATTTGCACGTCCTTTATTATTGGAGATACTACATCTTACAACAGGTTTTTGTGACCACTTGGATTTCTCCTTTTGCGTATTGTCCTTTCCTATCCTTTGCTATGTTTCCTTGTGCATTACTTTTTCATATTGATTTATAAGAGGTATTTATATTTTTAAATATTAATAGGTGGATATTGTCATTGTTGCAAATATTTTCCTTAATGGGTTGCTCATTTTCAGTTTTGTTCATGGTCTCTTTTGATGTGGTTGCATTTATTGGCTTTTGTTTTGAGTGTCTTATTTCATAAGCTTTCCCTGTCACAAATCCATACAAATAATACCTTTTATTTATTTTTTATTCTTTTCTAGTTGTTTTAATTAAGCTTTTAATCTTGAGATAATTGTAGATTCACATGCAGTTGAAAGAAATGATACGGAGAGATCTCCTATATTGCTGACCCATTTCCCGAATGGTAATACCTTGCAAATCTGTAGTACAATACCACAGCCAGACACTGACATTGGGGTAGGCCACACAGAACAACTCTCTCACCACCCAAAGCCCCTGTGTGCCCCCTTTCTAGCCACATCCACTTCCCTTTCCCTTCTCCAGCACACTGCCACCCCATCCTCAACTATGGCAACCACTCATGTGCTCCAAATTTCTATACTTTTGTCACTTCAAGAATGTTCTATAAAAGGAATCATGAAATATGTAACTTCTGGGAATTGGCTTCTTCACTGGGCATAAGTCCTTGGAGATTCACTGGAGTTATTTTGTGTGTCAAAATTGTCCCCTTTTATGGCTTGGAAGTATTCCAGGGTGTGGATGCCTACATGTTGCTTACCATTCATCTGGGGAAGAATGTTCGGGGTGTTCCCATTTTGTTGCTGTTACAAAAGAGGTGCTAGGAACACTTGTCCACAGATTGTTCAAAAGCACAACTGGTAGGTCCAATGATAGTTACCTGTTCAGTTTTTTTTAAGAAGCTGCCAAAGTGTTTTCCAACGGCTCTCCCATTTTATATCCCCACCTGCAAAAAGTGTAAGAGATACAATTTCTTCACATCCTGGTCAGCCATTGATGTTGTCACTGTTTTTCATTATAGCCACTTTGACAGATGGGTCATGATACCTCATGTGGTTTTGACTGCCATTTTCCAAATGGCTGAGGCTGTTGAACATCTTTTCATGTGTTTATTTACTATAAGAATAGTCTCTTCAGTGACATAGCTTTCCTGGGATTTTGCCCATTTATGAATTTACGTGTTTGGTTTTATCACTCTTCTTTCTGAGATAAGTGTTTTACAAATATTTTCTCCAGTCTTTAGCTGGTCTTTGCATCCTCTTTACTGGGTCTTTCACACAGCAAAAGTTTTTCATTTTGAGTAAGTCCAATTTATCAATTTTTCCTTTAATAATAGCATTTTTGATGTCAAGGCAAGAACTCTGCTTAGCCCAAGATCCTGAAGATTCTCCTCCTATGTTTGTTTTTTCTAACAGTTTTATAGTTTTATGTCTCACATTTAAGTTTATGATCCATTTTTAGTTAATATTTATATAAGGTGTGGTGTCCCTTTTTTTGCCTGTGGATTTCACAGTTTCCCCGGCACCATTTGTTTCAAAGGCTCTCCTTCCACCATTGCTTATGTACTTCTATAAAAAATAAGTTGGGCATATTTGTGTGGGTCTATTTCTGGGTTTTCTGTTCTGTTCCATTGATCTGTGTCTCTCCCCCTACCAGTATTACCCAGCCTTAATTAATTACTATACCTATATAATATAACATGTGGAAAATTGGGTAGAATAACTCTCAGTTAATTTTTCTTCTACACAATTGTTTTGGCTACTCTAATTTCTTTATGTTTCCATACACATTTTGGAGTAGTTTGTCTATATCTACAAAAAAATCTTATGTATTTCACAAGCTATCTCTATCACAAAACCATAAAAATAATGTTTTTTTATAACTCTTTTGTAGCTTTTAAAAAGTGTTTTGTTCTTTAAGTAATCTACAGATTTTTATTATGAATGGTATGAAGTAGAGCTCAAAGTTGATTTTCATTTTCGGCAGTAATTTCTCCCAACATTTTTAACAGACTATTTTTCCTCTCATTTGAAATACCAACCTTATCACATACTAAATTCCTATATATTTAAGGGTGTGTTTCTCATTCACCATTCTATTCCATTGATCAATTTGCCTATTTATTCCTATGTCTTTTTTAATTCCATAACTTTATAGTATGTTTTGATATCTGGCAAAATATATTCCCCTCCATTGTTCTTCCTTTTCAAAATAGCTTTTTCTTATGCATTTTTTTCTATCATGTGAACAATAATAATAACACTGTCAATTTTAATTAGAAATCACAATGATGATTGGTTTTGTACTGAATTTATAGATACTTTCTACAGGGGATATTTTCATAATATTGAGGTTTCCCAATGTAGTATGTACCCCCCTTTAACTGAGTCTTTTTTTATGTCTATTATTAAGTTTTACAGTTTTCTTCACATAAGTCTCTCCCATTTCTTTTTAGAACTGGTCCTAAATATTTTGTGAGCTTTAATTGTGTTACCAAGAGGATCTTTTTCACATATATTTTCAAACTGGCCACTATCTGTAGGAAAAAAAGCCTTTTCTCAGGGATACTCCCAAGGATACTAACAGGAACTTTTTTATGGAGGAAGAGGGGCCAGATGTGAGTCGTCCGTCACCCCAAGTGCCAGGCACTGCCTGGTATGCCCTGGAAGGGGGGGTGGGCGAGTAGACAGCAGAGCTCCAGGGGTACCCCTTCTGACTGCTGCATGGGGACCCAGCTCATGGCTTTAACTTGGACCCCTCTCAGGAAGGCCCCAAGAAGACTGATCTACAGCACCCCACCCACTGTAGCACCCCAGCTCACCCTCCCCAGTGTTCCCCACTGTATTCCCCAGTGCTTTGTGGCTTGTCTCTCACAGGCCAGGTCTGCTCTTCTACCTGGCTCTGTGACCAGGCCCGCTGCACGTGGGCCCAAGGGTCCCACCTGGCAAGTGGATGCCTAATCATTAAAACCATAAAAGGTCATTATGCCACCGGATTGGTAATGGGGACCAGGCTACTGGTCATTCCCTAGGGACAAGGTGAGAGGTAAGAGGTGAGGATGGAGGAGCCTGGTGGGCAGGTTTAGAATGAATCATAGCTTGAGCAGCAAAGGGGCCCAGGAATGCAGGAGACAACCTCCTCCAGTACCAGCACGTAGGACGATGCTTGTGGGGAGGCAGGCCCGCAGAAGAGGGGCCTGTGAAGTAGCCTCCATGTGAGGTATGGGGTGGGGATAAGTGGTCTGGGAACCTTGGAAGCAAGAATGCTGTGGGTCCATTTTTGTGGATTCAGAGAGGGTGTGGGGAGCTTAATCATGTGTGTGACCCTTGGTTTCTGTGTTTCTGTGTTTGTCTCACTAGGGATTTGTCATGGTGTGGGTCAGAGTTCCAGCCTGTCTCGGCTGAGCCAGAGCGCCAGGGAAGGAGCCTCCAGGGGGATACGGGCTTGGTGTCACGGGGGCCAGTGTAGAGGGGTCAGTGGGGAGCAGAAAGAAAGAGTCCCTCAGAGGGAAGGAAGACTCAGGACTAGAATCCCACCTGTCCTTCTTCACCAGAAATATTCGTTCCAGCTGTGTCATGAAAATTCAGGGTTTCATAAGTAAATGAAGAAGGCTTTTCAGCTTCTTAGCCCTGTGACTATAGCTATTTTCTCACATGACAATAGGGATAACAACTCTACAAGATTTCTATTATACCATCCCAAACTAGAGATTTGGAGTGGTATAATCGATAATTTTTCATAGTCTGTGGACGTACCTTTAAATAATGGTGAATCCCATGATAGGAAATGTATTCCTTCTTCATTTTTCTTTGAAATTCTTCTAAGCACATAAGGAGAAAATCTCTCGTACAAGTTGGGATGCCTTTGATGCAATAATACTCAAATTAAAAGTGAATAAAACAAGGAGGAAAACACATTATCTCACATAGCCTTTCAGGCGAAGGCAGTTTCAGGGAAGCTCAGCAGCTCTATAAGGTCATCAAAGACCCAGGTTCTTTCCATCTTTCCTTGTTATCTTCATCTTACTGTCTTGGTTGTTAGGCAAGTTTCCTCATAACTACAAATTGGCTGCCTTGCACCAGGATTTGTATATATCTATGACCTTATTTAAAGACATTTAGAGTAGCTTGAATCACAATTTGTTTGTTTGTTGTAAGACATGCACACACAAAAAATTTTATTGAAGTGAAATTCACATAAAATGACCATTTTAAAGCAAACCATTTAGTGATTTACAAAATTGTACAATAATTGTCACTGTCCAATTACAAAATTTTCTTATTGTGTTAAAATATATATATAACATTTGCCATGTTAGCCATTTTTAGGTGCTCAGAACAATTGCTTCTGTGTACTGTTATACAAAAACTCTCTAGCACTTTTTCATCCTGCAAAACTGAAATACTAGACCTAATGAATCACCCCTTGTTTTCCTCTCCCCCCAGTCCCTGCGGAGACCATTCTAGTTTCTGTTTCTAAGAGTTTGACTGCCTTAGATATTTCACATAAATATAGGTGGAATCATGCCGTATTTGTCTTTTTGTAACTGGTTTATTTCACTTAGCATAATGTTCTTTAGGTTCGTCATCCATGTTGTAGCATATGACAGGATTTCCTTTTTTAAGGCTGAATAATTCTCTTTTATGTATATACCACATTTTCTTTATCCATTCATTTTCTGATGGGCATTAAGCTTGCTTCCAAGGTTTGTTTGTTTGTTTTTTAAATCTTTCCCAGAAGCTTCCAGAGGTTTTAATTTCGATATCCATGGTGACAGCTGGGCCATAACCCCCTGTTGGCTGAAGGGAGGCTGGGAAAGGGGGTACAATATAGCATTTCTAGCCTTTCTCGGAGGATGAAGACTTCCAGCGAGGAAGGTGAGACGATGGTAGAGAACAGTATCAGCTCCGGCAGGAGTCTGGACCTCTCAAGCAGTGATTAAAATACCTCAGAATACCACAGCCTCCAATCTTCCCGCAGGCAAGAGTATCCAGCAGGCAATACCATGATCATATTGTGTTAATTGTGCAACTATTATGACAATTCATAGTGCATATAAGATTTCATTTAAAACTACTTTTTTTTTTAGAAAAAGGAAATTGATCTAAAGAAAAGAATTAAATAAAAAATAGTACCAGCAGTGTGCAAAAGATACGGCAAACATCTTGAAAGTGGTAAGTAAATCATCCAAGTTTGGGATGCAGTGAATTGATAAGGTTTAAATGAATAACACATGCAAAGGCTCAGCCCAGCGCCTGGAACCCAGGGAGGGCTTTCAGTGACCTGCAGCAGTAACTGTGGTTCCTTACAAGTTAAGGTGACCAAATTCAACAAATGAAATCACAGGACAGCCTGTTAAATTTGAATTTCAGATAAACAAATAATTTTTTAGCATAAAAAATTATATGCAATATATGGGAAATACTTGTACTAAAAAAACTACTTGTTTTTCAACAAATTCAAATTTAGCTGGGCTATCTGTGACTTGTCTGGCAACCCTATTCCACACACTTTCTCTGGAATGAGGAAGAGCTGGGACATAGCTTGGGGACCCTGGGATGTCACCAGGGATGCCTGCCCTCCGCCAGGTAGTTGGGCAGAAGATAATGAGAGAATGTGGAATCTCCCCAAGAAGCTGGGGAACCTGTGCCCAGCAGCACCCCCAGCCCAGGGACCTGCACCCCCAGCTCCACCCTCACTCAGCGCTAGGACTATCCCTGAACTCTCCAGCCCCTTGCTTCCCTGTCGCCCAATGGCCGTGACATGGGAGGGGACCAGAGTGGCCTGGGCAGCAAGTGTTGCTAAGGGCAACGTATCACAGATGGGTGGGATCTCATGAGCACACAGGAGCCTGCTGTGTGACTTTAAAGGCTCACCACAGGAACTTGGGCCCATAAACACGCAGATGAAGAGGTTTTATGAGTGTTGGGCTGGACCGGTCCCTCCCTCTTTCCCTCCCCTCTCCCTGTCTCTATTGAGCCAGGCCAGGAAACCTCTTCTGTCCACACAAGGGCGCAAGCACGGCCCATGTGCTCCCCAAGTACGGGGGACCACAGAGGTGTCACTCTGTAGGCACGTTGGGTTGGGGTGGGGGGCCTTCAAATCAGATTTTCAAGCAGTCATCCACATCTCCCAGGTGATAGGTCAGCACGTTGGTCTTTCCCAGAAATACACCCAGAAGCAGGTACGGAGACGCTGTGGTGACCACACAGGCCCAGACACTTGATTCCATTTCCCAGAGCACCTCTGTGCTCGAATCAGACCCCTCCTAAATCTCCAGATCTCTGGGGGTGACACTGTCTGCCAGTTACATTGTGGGAAAGCTGGATTTAGATGGCATTCACTCCAGACAGCAGGAGAATATCACAGTCTTTTGGGAGAAAGGCCTCAAAAGTCTGTGGATGCTCATTTCTGGAAAATAGCCTCTTGATTCACACCAGGCCAAGAAGAAAGATTTATGAGCTCAGCGTGTCTTCTGTTTGTCCCAGTTACGGGGCATTGCTCAGCCCTGTAACTCACACCACAGAGCAGGGAGACACAGCCACTGTCTAGTTTTTACTCACTCACTGCAATCCCAGTGTCTGGTGTGTGGGGGTGTCCAAGGGGCATGTCCTTCCCACGCAGAGTGAAGTCCCTCTGAGGCCGTGAGATCCTCTTCTTCCTCTGTGGTTCTGTGGAGATACATGAGGTGCATAATAACTGTCTGCCCTGCTCAGATCTTCTGCCTCCAGCATAGCCCATCCCAACAGGGTATGTGTGTGTGTATGTGTATACACCCACATGTGTGTGCACATCCCCCATGTCTAGCCCCACATCTCCTGTTAGTGGTCTTACTGTTGCACACCTTACTGTCTGCCTGCCGGCACATACAGAGAGTGCTGACGTGAACCCAGTGGTCCTTCATTTCTGGGTGATGTCTCCCAGCCCCTGCAGAGGCCTTTGTGGGAAGGATGTCTGCTGGGCCCCTCAGCCCCATTCCACTCACCCCCTTCATTTACGGGGGCCTCATAGGTCTCCCACTCCGACCTCTGTCTTCTGTTCCCCCACACAGCCAGGCAGCCCTTTGCTCCTCTCTCTCCTGGCAGGACACTGACCCTTTGTCCCCCAGCCACTGGTTAGTGTTGTCAGCTATGCCAGGCCATCAGTTCTCACTCTACATTGCCCAGAGGGAGGGAGTCTGACTTTAGATTTCATAGATAGGGTCTCCAAGATAAACAGCCCACGCACATTGCCACAATGGCCACCTGTCAATGCATAGCCAGCCAGTGTGGAATTAAGCTCAGAGGCTCTGTGTCTTCTTCTTGAGGTCAATGCCCCATTTATTATCCTGGCGGTGCTGTGTGCAGGGATACAGGTATTTGCCAGGCCCCAGAAGGTGGGATATGGGCAGTATGGAAAGAAAAAAATTCACCCCATGACCTGGGGACACATGGGCACCACCAGCTTGCCCAGCCTATGTTGCCTGGTCTGAACATGAGCTACCTCTCCAGCGGAGGTGGGCATGCTCTGAGAGTGCCTGTCCTCAGCCCTGCAGAGGCAGGAGGGAAGCAGGGACACTGGGGCTTCTCACCAGCATCAGACTGAGAGGTAAACCCCTGCACAGCTTATAAACCCCCTCTCCACCCCCAGACAACTCTGGCAATTCCAGGCAGCAGGTGGCCAGGAGAGGAGGACCAAGAGGAAGCAGGAGAGCCCCTTGGGAGCCCCTCCGCTGAGGACCCCCCATTCCCATGTCGAGTGATGCCCCAGGGAGAGCCAGGGCCCCGGCATGCACCATCTCTGGGCATACCAGTGTGAACAGGGCCCTGGGAGGGCTGTCGGTCACATGGCCGGTGGAATATCACACTCTTTCCTTTGTGACTAAAAGGCCACAGAGCCAACCCTGATTTCAGGCGATGAGCTTGCACTCTTGCTGCACCAGCTGCAGACCAAGCCGGTTCCCACAAAGGCCGGGTCCCTGTCTCAGGGGCACGTGGCTTCAGGGCCCTTCCAGCATGCGAGTGGGCACTGCAGTCTGGCCATGACCCACAGTACAAGGCTCACCTGTTTCTCCATCAGTGTAGTTCCGTGATCTCAGGGCAGCAACATCTTGTGATGGGGATCGGCAAGAACCCCCCCTGGAGAAAGCAAGTTGTGCAGTCATTAGGGTTGTGGCCTCCACAGTGGGGACGGACCCAGCAGCTGGGTGCTTCTGACAGGCTGCTTTTAGGTCAATAATTAACATTTACAGACATTTCTCCTGCAGCAAGTTAAATAGCATCTGCTCGGGCAGACATCCAGGCCCAGGGCAGGCAGGCAGATGGAGTGCCTGGCCCGGCCTGAGGCTCTGGCGGGCAGGCCTTCCTGCTGTAAAGCTCTGTGTCTGGAAGGAAATGTAGGGTGGGGGCAGGAGAAGCAGCCTGGGTTGCTTCCTTTAAGGTCTAAGAGCCTCCAACAACTCAGCCTTTTCTTCAGTAGCCTCTTCATGTGGATTCTGAGTTCTGGCTCTGGGCGAACCACCTCTGGGAAAACAGTAGTCGGAGCTGATACCGCACAGTGGCTTGTGGGCTCAGACAGGCGGGAGGAAGAAGAAGCTCATCCACCAGCTGTGGTGGAGCTGGGGTTCAAGAAGGCTGGCTGAGCAGACAGCAGAGGTCCTGACAGTGAGCGGAGAGCAGCAGGGAGCCCAGCCATGGGACCCTAGCCTACAGGCCTGGTGGGGCTGGGCAGGTAGTGCAGGGGGGTGGGCCCTGGATATGGGGCACAGAGTAGTACAGGGACCTCCAAATAAGGCCTGCTCTCCCCACGGCATGGGCGGGAAGGGGCCCGCACTTGGCCTCCTGCCACCTGCACATCAGGCTCTGGGGCGGCCAGTCTACCTCGTGGCCACCACCTATCTTGTTGCCACGCTACTCAATGAGATGCGTGGAGACCTTCAACACACATTTACTGGACACCAGCCTGTGTATTAAGCCTGTGCAGAGCTGGCCTTAGAGGTACACAGGGGAGACCCTCAGCCTCAGGGTGAAAGCACAGACCCCAAAAGGTGGAAAGGCAGAGTGCAAATCCTGCAGGGACCACCATCCACCATCACCCAGCCCAGCCTCAGGCCCCTGCTCCCCGCCCTCCGCACCCTCCCCACCCTCCCCACCCTTTCCTGGGAGCCTGGCCTGCCAACAGCCAACAGGAAAAACAACACCCTTCCTCTCAGTGCTCCTCCCACAGGGAACACACCCCCAACCCCGGAAACAGCCCACTGGCTGCGCTGGGGTGACTAACCTTCTGCACCTCCAGGAAACCCAGAGTGACAGCTTAGCCAAACAGATCTCTCACCAGGTGGTAACCAGGTTGTCCTGTCATGTGACCAACAATTACCCACACTGGCCCAGTTTTCAGGTCACATGTATTCAGTTTCATTGAGTGCCTACCATGTGGAAGAGATGGTGCCAGGTGGTACTTACAGCGTCCCTTGAAGGTAAGCACCTGCTGGGTTATCAGCTAATGCTGCATAACTAATCACCCCAAAGCTAAGCGGCTTAAAACAACAGCAACATTTATTTTGCTCGTGAATATGCAAAGTGAGCAGGGCTCAGCAGGGGCCAGCTTGACTCTGCCCCACTTGGCAGCAGCTGGGGCAGCCGGAGGCTATGGGCAGCAGTCATCTGAAGCCAGTCATTTCATGCCTGGTGCCTGGCCTGGGGCACCCAGTAGCTGGGGGCATGAGAGCTGGGGCTCCTCACACACCTCCACCTCCTTATAGTCATGCCTCCCGTCCCTCCAGCCAGCATGGCAGCTTCTGGGTAGCCAGACTTGTCTCATGTGGGCTCAGGGCTCCTGGGGGCTGTGCGTAGGCGCAACAAAGCCAGGCAGATGCTCTATCCCCCCTCTAACCTAGAAATGGGGCCATGCAGCATCATTCCTGCCTCAGTGAATTAGAAGCATCTTACCAAAGCTGCCCATATCGAAGGAGACGACAATTCACCTCTGCCTTTTGATGGGAAGCATGTTAAGGAATGTGTGAACATGACCGTGAACATGTGTTTAACTCACCACATGAGACAAGGGTTAGTGTCCTATTTTAGAGAGGGGCCTAGAATAAAGTGACTGCCCAGTTCAGATACTAATTCAGAAGCAGGTGAGAACTCTGAGCCCCATCTCCTGGCTCCAGGCCACACCTCCTTCTCTACACCACCTGGCTTAGTGACAAAGGTGCCACATGGCATGGAGGAGAAACTCCCCCCTTGCTCCTGACCTGGGCGGGCTCCAAGGGCCTGGAAGGAAAGCACCAGAACCCAGACCCCCAGCCACAGCCACGCCTAGGAGTGCTGCGCCAGGGCCCTAGGGGAGACCCCCCAACACAGCAAGAGGGCATCTTGGGAGGGGGGCTGAGTTCCGTATCTGGCACAGCAAGGGGCAGCCTGGTAGGTCCTGGTGCTGCTTTCCTTCTGCTCACACCTGAGGGAGGAATGCGTGCAGACACTGCAGGGTGCGGGGGCTGGCTAGGCACAATGAACTAGTCCCGTGGGTGAATGTAATAAATAACCCCCACATCCTTGCTGTCAAGAATCGCGTGCGTAGTAGGAGACATACTAGTTTGATACATAGCAAACTGGAGTGCAGCCCTGGCACTGGCCACATGGCCTTCAAGTCCTGCTCTGGCCACGTGCCCTAGTCTGTCCTTAGAGTTGGAGTGCAGTGGGATCCCACGTGCACAGGGTGGGGAAGGTCAGGGCTACCGGAGCAGCCTTGCCGGGTGGGACCAACCAGGAGCTGCCATGGCAGGCCTGTGGTGTCCTTGTAGGTGAGCAGGTTTGCCCATGGGTTTTCTTTTCCCCTTTAGTTTATGTTTGGGAGGAGGCAGTGCTGAAAAAGGAGGACAGACTTGGGTGCAAGAGGCATGTTGCTGAGGGTGGGCAGATCACAGGACCACGGAGAATGTGACCACCCTAGTCCCCCGCCCTCCCCTGGGCTAGCTTTTGAGGCTGTGTGGAGAGGGGGCTATAGACAAAAACTGGGAAGAATTTTGTTTCATTTTATTTTTTTGAAATAAGAGCATATGAGAGCCTGGACATCAGCAGCTCCCTTCCTTAAGGCCTGGGTGACAAAACGTGTACAGATTGGAAGGAGAGAGGACCTACGTGCATGTGTGCCCCAGCCAGTGGGACCTGACGGGAAGGCGGCCCTGCTTGGCGCCTGAAGACTGCCACCTTGGAATGCAAGAACAGAAGCGCAAGGTGCAGGTGACAGAGGTGCCAGCAGGTGGGTCAGGAGCCCCCATGGCCTGCAGTGGGGGGAAGCTGCAGCAGCGAGTGGCAGGGCTCATTCCTGAACACACCTGGGACACAGTGGGGGCAGGTGGCTCTGAACACATGGAAGTCCTGCAGCTGCGAGGACAAGGACTGCTGGAAGTGGGGAGTCCTGCTCCTGGGGCCTCATCTGTGGCCATAGACAGTGGCAGCCGGGAAGTTTCATCTCACTGGGGACATTAACAGAAGTTTTAAAAGGGGGATTTGCACAGGGAAAGAGCAAGTGAGTAAAACCTCACACTCAGTTGGGAAAGTCACATTGAACTTGGCCTTGAAGGACTGGAAAGGCTGAGACACACACACAGACAGAAGTCAGGTCATTCCTGGTGGAGGAAACACCCGATCTGGGGACATGAAAATGCTCCATTCGGAATACAGTCGCTCTGAAGTTCCTACGGGAATATGTCTCTGATAGGATGTTTTGTAGGCTTCCCTGGGGTTACTGCACCAACACCATCAAGGCTGAGGTGCTAGATTGCTGCCAGCCTTCTTCTGAGGGTAGGAAATGTCCCTAAAGGCTGGTGCAAACATGCTCTGAAATGTGACTTCATTCCTGGTGTCAGAGATGGGGCAGTTTGTCCTCAGACCCAACAGTAGCCTGGAGAGGTCTGGGGAGCAGAAGGAGAGTCAGCCTGGGCCTGGGCTGAGGGGGTGTCAAAGACCCAAGGAAGACAGGCAGGGGGTGTGGGGTGGCATGGCAGCCCCCCAGGGAGAAGGAGTGGCCTCCACCTCAGACTGGGTGTGGCCTGGGCTGACCTGAGGCCCCAGGTGGGTTGGAACAGTGGGAGCCCACTTGTGTATATCTATACCTGCCTGCAGTGTGTTTGTGTCCTGGGGGTTCTTCTTTGGGGCCCAGGGAAGGCCCAGGAGTCTCAGTTCAATGGGCTGCTAAGAAGAGCCAGACAGAAGCTTCCTCTGACACTGAAAGGTGGTGGGGGCACTGAGGTACTGCTGTCAGACAGTCTGATGTGGCTTCTAAAAGGATTCTGGGAAGCTTCTACATGGTTTGCATTAAGATCTCATAAGGATTTTAGGTTCATCCACAAGAAGTATATGCAGATTCTATAAAGATTCTAAGAAATCTGAATGTGTCGATACTGGAGCCTGGAAGTGTGGGGTGGGTGAGCAGCTCTCAGCTGCACTGGCCCACGGCCAGCGGGCTCCCACCTCCCCTGACCCTATAAATTGTAGAGCATTTATTTTCTCCTAGGTTCCTTCTTTTGCTCTTTATAGAACTATTTTAACGAGATCAATTTAAAAATGAATGAAAGGAAAAGCCCAGAGCAAACAGCACACAGCAACTAGGCCTGGCACGTCCTCGGACGCCAAGGTACATCAAAGATGCCAGCAAACAAACGCACAGTGCTCGCACCCTCCCCGGGCCAGTGGCATCTGAAAGGCACCCATAATCCCTTGCTGCCCCCAGCTGGCTCCCTGCCCAAGTCAGGACTTTGTGTTTTAGCACTGGGGAGCTTGTGGAGGTTTTTGAGCAGGGAAATGACTTTTTAGACACATGCATTAGAAGGTCTCTATTTAGCCCAATGTCTTAGTGTGCATGCCTTAGGCCCCATTTTCCTGGACAGTATCAATTTATGCCTCCTATCCCGTTTAACTCTCCGTTACACTCTCAGAAGTATCCTGGTTTTACTTACTGGATATTTTATGATATTTTTTAATTTTTTAATTTTTTAATTTTAATTTTTTAAGATATGACAATAGCATTGTAGTTGTGTTAAAAAAAAAGAATTCTTATCCTTTAGAGAGACATGCTTCAATACTTATAGATGATTGTTGTCTGAGATTTGCTTCCAAATAATTCAAGGGTGGGAGCAGAGATGGAATAAGATAGGATGAGTGATATTTGGTGGGAATTCATTATACAAGTCTGTCTATTCTTATATTTGTTTGACATTTTCTGTTATAAAAAGTATAAAAGAAAGTGCCCCAGATTGCATAATAAATGTAGTCACTCTAGTTCAGTCACCAGGAGGCAGTTTGTCCCTAGGGGACAGTTGGCAGTGTCAGGAGACATTTTGGGTTGTCATAAGCAAAGATGGGGATGTGTGCTACTGTCATCTCATGGGTACAGACCAGGGACACTGCTAAATACTACAGCACAGAGTGCAGCCCCCAGAACTCAGCATTATCCAACCCAAAGTGTCAGTGGTGCTGAGGTTGAGAAACCTAGGCTAGTGGAATTGTCTGCAGTTTACTAAGGCATCACAGTACAAACAGGAAGGATGGTGTGTCTATGTGTGAGTTCACTGTAGGTCACGCTCTGGAGGTGATTAGTTAACACTTAAAAGGAATTCACACTCTAGGAGTGTGGCTAGCCAGCACTTCAAATATAGTTACCTGAATCTGCTCCTGAAAATTCATTAAGTAGCCTAGAAAGTGTTCTAGATCATTTGTCATTGGTGAAGTGATGTGCAAGAAATGTGTCTGGCTTGAAAGATGGAGCATGAACCTGTGTCTTTGCTTGAGGAAGATAGAAGGATCCAGAAAAACTGGATGACTAACACCTGTGAGCTAGTGCTTGGGGTCTATTCCCATTTGATTCTGGATCCCAATCATCGCCCAGCTCTGATAGAAGGCCCGTCTCCTGGTCCAATCAGAAGGTGGGCTGGTCCTTAAGACAGAACAGAGGCTTATCCCTAGGCACTGAGCCTTTCATGTAAGTGCTTTGGGGGTACACCTTGGGACAAAGAAAGGGGATGTCCCAGAGCTCAGTGGATGGGGCCTCATGACTGTTTTTGTGCCTACTCGCTAGTAAAGATATGTCATTGTGGTGAATCTGGTCTGAAATCTGCTTACATTGTAACATATGTCTTTGTAGGAAAAGTGTCACTTGAAGATTCATAGACCTTACTTAATCCTTGGGGACACTGATATTTACCTAGGACACTGATAGTCACTGAAGGGCCAGGTTGGCTGAGATCAGGAGGATAATTCTGGTGGTGTGTGTGGACAGATTAGAGAGATTAGACCTTTTCACTTCATTCAGGATCTTTCTAATATCTTCGATGTCCCTCCCTGGCACCAACACCATGAATCACACCTCTTCTTACCTGGCCAGGGTCTCACCCATGTATCCCAACACCTCCGTCTGGAGCTTCAGCCACAGCCAGGAACGGCCTCTGCCCTCAAGGCCTCCAAGGTGTGACCATGAATATGCAGGAGAGCTCCTCGGCCTGAGTCTGGCATCTGGGGCTGGAATTCATCATGGCCAAGGCAGATTTTCAGCTTCCCTTCCTATGCCTCCAGCTGCAGCCAGGCAGGAAGAGGCTGCCTCGGTGTCCTAAAAAGCTGGGGGACTGGTGCTCAGGGCCACCTTTCCTGCCTGGAGCTGTGTTCCCTCATCACAGGTAGTGGCCATGTATTTAGGAGCAGGAGGACAGTCAGTGGACAGCAAGATAGCTGGGAAGGGCCACCCAGGAAGCCCTATTTTCAGTCATCAACAGCTCAGGGGTAGTGAGCTTATCAGAACATATTCTGGGAGTTTATTTGGCTGGAGAGAGGCAGAGAGGGCAGGAGCACCCAGCTTTTGAGTCGGGGAAGGAATGGGCATCCCAGAGGGAGGATGCCCCCACACCAAGGGAGGTGGAGGATTCAAAGAGAGCTTTCTAGAGCTTTCATGAGATGAACTCCACCAATTTCACCATTCTGAGGAGCCTTGATGCCCTACCTAGTCCTCAACACACATACGTGCCCCCCACCACCCGCCACGGTCCCTGAACTGCATTACTTGGCCTCGTGGTCCCTTCTTTCCCAAGGTCTCAGATTACATGCCTGACATGGATTCTTCCCGGTTGCTAATCCCATGGTGTGCTGGCTCCCACGGGGCTCCAAGGATGCTCCCGGTGGCCCAGGAGCAAGCTACCTGACTCCCTGGACTCTCCCTCAAGAGCCCCTGCAGAGGGCCAAGACCCTCCCTGGAGGTGCATGCTCCCCTACTAGGGTTATTTAGCTGGCATTTCTAGCACAATCCCATTGCAGTTGTCTTTGCCTCCGTCACAGCCAGTAGCTGCTCCATGGGGAGGCTTGGGATGGGAGGGAGAAAGGGTTCTAGGCACCCCCAAACTCTACAGCTACCCTTTCCTGATAAACTATACTGCAAAAAGTGGGTGTGCTGTTTAAAGGCCATTTTCCCATCCGCTTCCACCCAGGCCCTGCCTGGCATCCTGGGGCCCCCCAGATCCCAGCCCACAGTGGCATGAATGGCACCTCCTATCTCCTCATCCATCTGGGGTTCTCTGAGCAGGGGCTGGGCTGGGTGTTGCTGATCTCTGTGTTTCTCACAGCAGAACTCAGAGCAGAACCCCCTTGCCCCATCCCCAGCCATGCCCCAGCACTCAGAGGATGTCAGGGAGTGTGGGCAGAATTTAACTGCCTGACAAGTTCAGATTCGCATCTTTGATCTGCAAACCTGGCAATGCTGGGTAGTAGAGGAACTGGATTCAGGTGCAGACAGACTTGAATCTGTGCTTTGTCACTTAAACCACTGTGACCTTGGGCAGTCACTTCTCTCCCCAAGCCTGGGTATCCTCTTCTGGGAAATGGGGCCACTTGTATCTAACTCACAAGACAGCATGTGAGGAGTGATTGCACCATGTGCACAGACAGCCCAGCCCAGCACTGGTGGCCACTAGGCTCCCTCTTGGGGATTAGCTGAGCCCAGCAATGAGTGGTTTAGTCTTGGTTTCAGGCATTGGGCTTCCTGTTACTGACATAGTAAGCATTTTGTATATTTCCTAATCCTCAGGACAGTCCTCTGAGGAACGCATCAATATCAACAACACCACCTTGTATGTTCCAGGAAACAGGCACAGAGGGATTACGATGCCTGGCCGAGGTCACACAGTGGGTAGGTGGTAGAGCTGTGGTTTGAACTGAGGCATTTGGGCCCTGCTGTCTCCACTGCTGAACTGCTCTGAGTTCAGGCCTTCTAAGAGAGGAAACTGACAAAGGGACATTCTTTTAATTCAATCAAAAGTATTTACCAAGTTCCTACTAAAGAATCAGGAAAGGTGGTCTCGGCCCCACCTCAGGATGCTTGCTGTAGAGTCCTGGGGAAGGGCTCCAGCCCCAGGCCTGGGAAGCTTGCTGAGACCTGGAGAAGCGGCCTGGCCTGTCACGTCTACCTCTGCAGCCCACTTGCCTGCCAGGCCGTTTGAACAATGATTAACTGCAGCAGGCAGGCCGGTGCAGGCCAGGGCGGGCAAGGCAGGTGAGCTCACCCCTTGCACAACAGCTGCCACACCCACCTGCCCAGCTCAAGGGCGACACAGCAGGGCAGGGCCAGTCAGGCTCCCAGAAGCTGGGGAAATGGCTCTGGGAAGGACAGGGGACAGTCTGCCTGGACATGAAGATGCATTCCACCCCCTACCCCACCAGCCTCAATATTCCAAAAAGGCTGGTCTGGGCTGGTCTGAGAGGAGTCTTACCTGATCCGAAGGGTCAGTCAGCCTTGCAGCGTGCCCGCTCAGGAACCACCCTCCACCTCCCTACTGTCACCAGGTGGCTGTCGGGGTGGGGGGGAAGGCCTGGGCCTGACTGGGCTGCCCAGCCCCTCCTCACAACATAGGGGCATGGCGACCCTGAGGCTTTTCAAAGACTTTTCAGCAATAAACACAGGATGGGCTCCTCCTGACTGACAGGATAGGTCCCATTTTTGTTCCAGATTCACCTGCCCAGCCTCAGGGACCGCACTCTCTGGGCCAAGTGCTTGGAGCATCACATCCTGCTTTGTCCCTCACAGGACCCCCACCCCCACCCCACCCACCTCCTACAACCTGGACTGAGAAGACCTGGTCTCCTCCTCATCGTCTCAGGGCATGAGACCGCTGCCTGACGCCTCCCTCCTGCCTTCTTACAGAAAACCGGTTTGTCACCGAGTCCCTGCTCTGGGTTGGAAGAGCACAGAGGACACTCCTTGCCCTCAGGAGCATGCGACCTTGTGGGGATGGGCCATGAACAAAGGACCGAGAACAGGTGAGAAGTTCCGCAATGCAGGCCTGGCCCAGCAGCTGGGACTGATGAGCTCCTCCCCTATGCAGCACTTTCTGTGTACCAGGCCCTGTTCCAAGCAGACCATGGGTATTATTATTTTTATTCATGGGCTTCACAGAAAGATATGAAGTGGATCATTTCATGACCCCCATTGTAACTGATGAGGGGAAAACCAAGAGAGAGAGAAACCGATATAAGTAGCAGGAGCAGATTCAGACACAGGCACCTGTGCTCTCAGCCCCCACGCTATGCTGCCTTTGATGCAACATAGAGGAGAAGGGGAGGGCCAGGTGCAGCTTCCTAGACAGAAGGTGACCATGCAGAGCTGGGCCTGAGTTGGGAGTGGGAGTTTGTCAGAGAAGCACTTGAGGCACCCCAGACCCAGTAAGCATATCTGCAAGGCTGGGAGACCTGGGCAGCGAGTACCCCGGGAGGAGATGGAAACAGGGGTTCATGTCCTGACCCCTGCCTGGCGTGAGTCCCCCACAATGAGCCCATGTTCAAGTATTATCGGTGATGTTTAAAGGCACACACTAACACCATAAAGACTGAGGAACACGGCAAAAAGCAACACCCTGAAGCAGGAGTTGGCAAACATTTCCTGTAAAAGGCCAGATGGTAAATATTTGAGGCTTTGCAGGCCATACTTTTTTCTGTCACAGCTACTCAACTCTACTACTCAGAGCAGCACAGACAGTATGTGAACAAATAAGTGTGACTGTGTGCCAATAAAAGTTTGTTGATGGACACTGAACTGGCGCATGATTTTCAACATGCCACACACACAACATTTTTTTGTTAAATGTTTCAATCATGTGAAATGTAAAAAGTGTTTTTAGCTTGCAGGCTATACAAAAACAGGCATGTGGGGTGTGATTTGTTCCTGGCCGCAGTTTGCTGATCTCTATACTAAGAGCTCAGAGAGGTGAGTGCATATGGAGGCTTCGGAAAACTAGTTACACAGATTGGCTGGAGCCCAGGAGTAAGGAGGGGTCTGGGCCAGGGCTGGAAGGGGCTGGGCCATCCCCACGGGGCCTCATGAGCCCTGACAGGATGTGCAGCCACAGCAGGGTCAGCCCCAGGCTTGGGCGTCAGGGTCACCAAGTCCTGGCCCTGAGATCCAAGGCATTTGCCTCTCTGAGCTTCAGTTGCTTCAGTATAAAATGGAACACTGGCCGTGACCTTGCAAGTCCTGTGAAAGAGGCCAGCTGGGGTCACAGAGTGGCCCTTATTGATTCATACAATTGCTTTGATTATTCTCAAGGTTTTAGGCAGGTACCTACTCAGGTATGGGTTTTGGAAGCAGCCCCTGGTGGCCATGTAGAGAAGGGGTCGGCACCTGTATCAGCTTCCATTTGCCCTCCACATCCACCCTCCATCCTTCTCTTTAAGGGCGAAGCTTGCAGGACATCCAGGTGGCTAAGTGCACAGGTGTACCCCAGTCTCTCTGCAGCCCTTATTTTCTACCTGACCTTTAGCCATGACCTACCCAGTTCTGCCACGTGAACCATCATGCTGGGAATGGCTTAGGCACTTCAGAGAGTGGTCAGTGCATAAGTGGTTGCTGGCCTTCTCTTTCCCTTTAGATGCAGAGAGAAGGCTCTCAGGTGCATGGATTATACAGGAGGAGTGTGGGAGACACACTGAGTCCCCGGGATTGGTCCAGGGGACTCCATTCCCAGAGAGGCCATGAGTTAAGTAAAGCCAGAGCAGCCAGCCAATGACATTGCTGAGGAATGTTTTTGCCCAGCAGCTAGGGAGGTTGAACATGAGGGAGGCACTTCTATCTGGGGGATATTTGGGTTAAATCTTCCTTTTAACCTCCCATCTCTTGTGACTGCGGAAGACAGGAGATCAGATCCCAGCTATCCTCCAGCGTGGGGCCAAGGCTTGGGGGGCCAGGGCTTGGGGGCCAGGGCTTGGGGGAACAGGGGAGGCCTGTCCAGGGCTTCGTCTCCTTCGTAACTGGACTGCCTGCTGATTCCATCATCCTTCCTAAAGCAAACACTTGATTGAATATTTCTCAGTTGAGTCACCGTTCAGTTTGCCTTCTCCCAGGAAATTAAACACACTCGTTTTTGCCTCTTCAACATTCTGACCACAGTCACGCTTCACTCTCTCCTGGGACAGGCTTTCAGGCTTCCCTGCTCTTTCTTGCCCACGGAACCCCAGGAAGTTAGAGGCTTATCTTATATTCACTGCCTTCTAGGGGGCGGATGGTAGCGGCGCAATGCTTCTCTCCATTTGCCTACGATGAGATGAATTACCACATCTCCCTCACCCCCACGACTGCTAGCCCTAGTCCATGGGTCTGATATTCATTAATGTCTAGCCAAGGCCTGATTCAGCCACATTGCTTCACAGGCAGTGTAGGCAGCAGACACGTAATGCGTTGGGCAACCCAGGTCTGACCAACTGGTTGGTCAGGTCAGTGGCCATGCAGCTAACAGGAACAGCTGGGTGGACTTCAGCCGGGGGAGGATGAGACAGGGCCTGGGGAACAGACCCTTGCTCTGACTCACCAGGTGACACTGAAACCTTAAAAAAACTCAGAAAGGCCTCTTTTCCCAGAGAGCTTTCCTGGCTCTGCCATGAGGCCTGGAACCTCTGCTCAGCACGCCCCAGCAAGTGCGCCTGCCGGAGTCTACACTGCTGCAGGGGTTGGGGTGTGTGCACTGACTGAGCGCTGCTACTGAATCTTTCTTCTCTGACATGCAGGAGACTGCTGAGGAGTCAGGCTTCCAGAAGACCCATTAGATCACCAGCTACTGAACCTACACCTCTGGGCATGCTAACAGGAACATGCTTTGGGTTAAAGCATGTTTAACCCAGTGATTAACCTGTAATTCTAGGGTTCCAGCTGTGGGGTCAGGGTAGAGGATGGAATGTAATGATAGACAAGCAGTTTGATGTCTACATTTCTGCCAATCCATTTTCAGCTCAGATCCATGCAAGAAGCAGATCTTCCTACCATGAAATTCCCCATTCATACTGGGGTATGCCCCACAGACTGCAGCCCCTGAGCTCAGACTGGAGCTAAGGGCCCATATCACACACCAGAACAGCCAGGGTGTCATAGAACTAGAGGGATGCGAAGTCTCCTTAGAAATCATTCAGTAGAGGCTTTACCTTTACGAAAGGCGAAAGGAGTGGGCATCCCAGCCCAGACAAGGATGAGCACCAGCCACTCTGATGAAGGCTTCTCAAAGGCTCCTGGGCGCAGTGAGAGTAGAGACTAAAATGATGCCACTGCCCATCCCTCAAGGTCCAGCTCACATAAGGAAGGGTGACACATGCTTCCTTACAGAGTGTGGGCTTGCTCAGCCAATCCCAGGGACCCTCTGAAGCCCGCAACAAGCCCTGACTAGAAGCCCTGGGCAGTTACACACATGGGAGTCTTTGGGCCCTCGGGATTCAGTACTGAGCTCCCAAGGGTGTGTTCCGATCTATTTTGCTCAATGCCCTGAGGAAAGGGGACAGGCATCAGAACCCAGTCTGACTGGAAGATTCATTTCCTGTTGGGATTCCCCAGCTCACTTCCTAAGCCTCAAGGCACCAAGAAGCCTCTGTGGCAGCAACTCAAACAAACCTACAGGAGTCAGGGAGCCTAGATTCAGTGCCCAGGGCGCTCAGTAGCCTCAAGCAGCTCTACTCAGAGAAGTGTGATACCCGGGTCTCCTGACCATGCACAGGGCACTGTCAGAGGTCAGGAGCCCCAGGGGTTATTTGAACAGGAACTGCTCAGGTCACATCAAATGTTCCACGTCACAAACCCCCTATTTAACCCCTTTTCAGGAAGTCATCAATCTCAGGGGCAGGGTGGGGGAGGGGCGTAGTACTGTAACTGTCACGAGTCAGCAGCATCCAGCCGTCCCTCTGGTCAGTGCACCTGGCTAAGGCACCCAGGGCTGGACTCCCACAGCCTCTCCCATGACAGCACAGCATGGGGACAGGGTCCCATTGGGAGTGGTTACCACTGAACCTAAAATTAGTGGGAGCTCCAGGGAAAAGCTGAGGAGCATCCCTGGCAACAGAGACCCCAAGACACTGGTGTGAGATCCAGGGGTGCTTCTGTGTCGGGCTGGTGGAGGCAGTGAGGAGAGGAGGCCTCGGCCCCTTCTCTCCCTGTGCCCTTTCCCGTCTCTCTCTCTCCCTCTGGGTTCTCAGCCCTCCTGCTGTGTCCACAGACAGCTGCCCCTGACCTGCAGACCCACCAGGCAGACAGAATGGTGTGTCCCCCAGTGTGAGAACTCCTCAGGCTATTCCTGCCTTCTTCCCAGGTCTCAACCCCCACTCACTGCCCTTATGCCTGAAGAGAATCTGTGGGTTCGGGGGTGGGGAACGAAGGCCAAGCTGCTTTCACGCATAGCCTCAACCCTCTCCTGGAAGGCTGGAAGCTCCTGGAAGTTTCTAGAGTCACAAACCGGCCCTCCTAGCACTCCAAGATCCACCTCCTCCAGGAAGCCTGCCGTGTGAGTGCTGATGGTCTGAGAATCAGAGGGCAGCTGCTGAGAAAGTCACTGGGAAAAGCAGAGGCCAGGAGAGCCTGAGGGATGAGAAGGAGAGGGAGGCAGCAGGGGGCCCAGTGTCCATCCAGGGCTCGTGCTCCCCAGGAGGCTGGCTGCCTTGGTGTGTGGCCTGGCCCCCGAGCACCCCTTTTCCAGAAGGATGTCCAGGACACACATGACACTGGGGAGAGGCAGCAGGTGACAGGGGAGGCTTCCTGGACAGGACCAAGAGAGCCCCAGAAGGCCCAGGAGAAGCTGCCCCACCCGAGAGGCACTGGCTGCCTGAGCGCCCCACGGGGAAGGGGCATCCCCAGAGCTGACTGATGCTCACGGGGAGGGATGCTGGGAACCAGGGGTTAGGGGGCAGCCCCTGACTCACCAGAGCCCAAGCTATCACAGTCCCCTGAGCCATCGTTCCCTCGGGTGGTCTGCCCTGGCCAGGGCTGTGGCCCCCACAGGGAAACCAGCACCCCTGTCTG